AGAGTGTATATAGTCTCAAAACAAATCAAATCTCCATAAGTTTATTGAAAACACTCATGTTATATATTTGTGAAAAGAAATTCACCATTATAGCAGCAATGTTACATAAAAATGCTGTAAATAGATACAAAACTACTGTAAACCAGTTATTTTTTATTCGCGATTCTTCAGTTTGGTATCCATCCGTGACTAGTAATTTTTGAGACCGAGGCAACATTCTACATAAATACATAGGTGAATTATTGGTTCGCGACGAGAAATATTCGCGAGTAAAAGAAGATCGCGAAACTCGCGGATATTTCTCGGTCGCGAATAATTGTTGGTTTACAGTATTTCATTGTACCTAAAGTAACATGCTTTCATAGATTCCAATGTTCACCGCCATAAATGAATGAATAATACATCATTTAACAATATTGACTTTAAAGTGTTCTTATTTACATGTCCATTGTTAAAAGAAGATTTCAAGAAGATCCCAACTGATTCCGCAAGCAAGAACCAATTGGCGCGCGTGAGATAAGCACGATTATTTTTGATGTTTTGGTAATTTAATAAATTCATCGTATCCTAGTGTACCTGAAAAAATGCTTTTGTATACAAAACAGTTCATGATAATTTCAAATTAACAACATATTTGAGGGATTCTCCACTCTGAATCAATATCATCATTTATAAATGCAAAAAGGAAGCGATCACCTCTCAATATCCTAAGTGAAATTACATAATAGATGCACAAGGTGGAGATAACGAACAGTGAACAACCTTATAAATACAGTAAACAAAACGAATCGTGGACAGGGCAAAACACTGACCCCTGGACACATCAGAAATGGGATCAGGTGTCTAGGAGGAGTAAGTATCCCCTGTTGGCCGGCCACTCTCGCCGTGAGCCCTATCTATTGATGTGGTATACGGAGTACTCCATGGTCAAATTAAGTATAAAAAGCAATGGCCTAACAAATGGTATCAAACATGTCAAACATACAAATTGATGAAAAAGATAAAAATTAAGGTTTTGATTTTATGGATATAGTTTCTAAATTTCGTTTTTTTTTTATCTTTCGATCTAAATTTGTTACACATATAATAGATGTTAAACAAAAATAATCTCAAAGGTCTTTGGCTAATGTTCAAGATCAGCAAATACTTGGTAACTATGAGAAAAGGTAACTGATTTTAGGTTAAAAGGCCTATTGTCAAGGGAAATCATATACAAGTTGTTTACTTTGTTGTGAACTGTGCTTTAAAATCATGGTGAGGCACTGCTCTGTTGAAATAAGTTTTCGTTCTTATTCGTTATTCGTTGAATATTATATTTTTTCATATAAATGTTGCCCAGTAAGCAAATATTTTGAAGATCTTTGCAACCCCTTTGATACTGAACATATCTATTATTTTCTTACTGAATATTGTTGACTGAACTTCTATATCAATGTAGAATAATGCAATAAAAGATGGCACTTAAAATGGAGCTGTGAAGCATTTCTCTTTGAGTAACTCTAATGTTGTGTAACTTTAATCATATGCTGATTTGGAAATGATTATAATTTTGTTCTTCGGTTAAAAGTATTTTTTGTATTAAAAAAATTGGATTTATTATCTTTTAATATTTCCTATAAATATAAATTTAGTGTGACTTGACAATTAAAACTCTAACCTATGCATCACGATGGTCTAAAAAATTTGGGATGGACAACCAGAGAGCTACAGTGCCATCCTTTGAAAAGTAAATATTTATTGCGCACGTATAAATCGAGAAAACAGCGCCCATTTTTGAGCGCAATAAATATATACTTTTTTCAATGGTTGGCACTGTAGCTCTCTGCTCCTCCATCCCAGTTTTTCAGACCAGCAAGCTGTAGGTCTGCAGCTTATCTCGTTATTCCTCAGTGCAAAAATGTACTTTTTACGCTTGTTGATAACAGAAAACATAAAATTCAAATAAAACTAAGTGATTCATTAAAAGATCTATCTATTACATGTAACTGTTTTGTACAGTCGATGACTTTGATCGATTCTATATCAATAAAGATTTATGTGGTTGATAGAAATAATGATTATTTAAGATTATTTGAAATTATTCTTTTTTGGGCGTTGTTGTTATAAAAATATTTTAATTCATTATAAGATGAATTTGCATTGAATACTGAACATTATTCATAAATACCTTTAACCATTCTCTCCACGATATCTTGGGCGTTGTGACTTGTATGATAGAGGAGCTATTACAGACTTCTTTTTTGCCTACCGGTGGTTTCTCTTACAAAATTGTGATTTTATGAGAACTAAAAGTTTTGTATTTTTAAGGAGGTTGAATCCTGCTATAAGAAGTATTTTAGAATTTTTTATCAAGCATTTTAATATCTACACATATAGCTTAATCAAAAAATACATACAAAAATGGGGGTCAATACGCTTCTTTTGGTGGTACGGTTCATTTAGTATGACCTTTTTGCATTGTAATTGTGTCTTACACATAAATTACTTTTTCGAAGTTTTCCTCAAATAGTTTTAATCAAAATAAATCATGGGCCTAAATACAGGCTCATTCTATCTTGAATAGACACGTTAAAATTTGTGACAAAAAAATAATTTTAAATTACTTCGTATAATCAATTATTTAAACTTTCTGCACTCATAAAATGTCATTTTTCTGGCATTAAAAATTTAACAAGCAATAAAATTATTTGAAAGTCTTAAGCTTTTTACGAATTTTAGCAGAATGGCCAAAGTAATCTTGTATATTCAGAAGAGAAAATTGAAAGTGGGGATCTAAACTGTGTTTTGTTTTTTTTTAGATAATACTAAAAAAATGTCAATTTTAAGCTAGAAATAGAGCTACCTTTTCTGGTCTTTCACAATATATTTGCTATATTGGTTACAATATCATGATAAAGTTCATAATAGTTAATTTAATATACAATTCTGGACCAACACAAAACACTTCACTGCACAAAATATCTGTGTGTAGTCTGCATGGAAAACTAGTAATCCAAACATAACTGTACTGTAAATATGGTATTTCGACAGAGAAAAATTGATAATTTTCTTCTAATTAAAAAAAACCTACGCCACAAAATATAGTTTCTCGCTTAATGCTTTTTGTATGGAATTTAATCATGGATTTTTAATTAAATTTAGTTTAATTGGCACTGTAGGATCCAAATTTACCGAAGAAGTAAAATATGATACAGAATTTTAGAAAAAAAAGTTCAGACAAAAATCTGCTTAATAGCTCAGGATCAAACCTCCTCAATAATACAAAATATATTTTAATTCTAGAAATTTTTCGTTCCTTTCAGCAAGTAGCTTTATTGAAAAAAAAATCATTGATTTTGTAAACCTGAAAACAATTAGACTCCATCATTCAAATATATAAATAAAGACTTGAACAGAATAAAAGTTAATTTCAAATTGAACCTGTTTGCTTCCTTTCCTGTATGAATTAAATTATTGTGAAATCGTATGGACCTCTTAGCTGAATAATAGTTATAATTCTCATTTCACTGAGTGTTTATATCATTTGAACGATGAAAGTGAAATAAACCTATTTCCATTACCGTATATCCGAAATGAACGAAGTATCTAACTACCTTATGAAATCTGTTGTGAGTTGAGTACCATTTCTTAAATATGAAGACAGACAGAACATTCTTCACTACAACCAATTGTCATATAAAAATTCCTCTTTCAATCTTCAGGGATAGAACCCTTGATATCCGCATCATGTGCTGAATTTTGAATTCATTAGGTGGAGGTAAATGTAAAATTTATATTTCATATTGTAAATCTTTAATTTATAAACAAGATATTTATTTCGGAAAAGAAGAGCAAAAAATTATTGAAAAAAGAAATGATGAATTAAATACTTTGGATTCTTTTGAATTTCAATGCTTTGAAATCGTAAATAAATACAAAAATTAATATTATTTCTACCAGATAAGTATATTTTCTGATCATAATGGTGATGGGGTGCACGCTTAAATATTTGATAATGTTCTACTTCTTTGTCTCCTTTGTCAATCAAGCTTGAAGCTGAACACGATTCGTAAAAGGAAGAGATTTTATCTTTGTCCACCATGTTTCTCTTCATTCGTTAATATTTTTATTTTCACTTGGTCACTGTTCAATGTCATGAGCTCTCAGATTTCACTGTATATGGCCGTACACTGCATTTCCATTATACTTGTAAAATACTCGGTAGAGACCAGCGTAAGAACTGCGTGCTTCTTCCACGATAGAAGGAAAAGTTTCCAAAGAAATCCACAGGTCAGTGTAGTACAAACAAACACAAATGCACGTAAAATGCAATACAATGTAAACAAACGCAAAATAAACCAGGTGCTGTTTATTCCATGCAGGTAGCCAGAAAGCATTCAGTCTAAAGGGAGACTCCTGTGTTGATATCGGAGATGGGAAATAAAACTTATATGGAGTTACTAGAACAATCAAACAAATAATTTTATTGCGATAGGCCGTGATAACCGAAAATGTTGTACATACAGTCACGTTCTTAGATCATTTTTATCAATGTAATCTGTGCAATATGGTTCGCACTTTTGCATGAAATATGGAGATAACGAACAGTATTGCATGTTTTGCATGTTTCTAACAATGTTGTATTAGTTAGTTAGTTAAATAAATGGCTTTCTCAAATATATTTTGCCACGTCGACACGTATATCACGCATTTCACGAAATAAATTCATGTATAGAACCTCAAATAACCATACACAGTGCTATCCTGACAAAAAGGTGAAAGTGCTTGTCCAGTAGGATTTTTTTTATTCTCTTGATACCGAATCTGTTTTTGTAAACAATGTTTTGCTCATGCTCAGACATTCTTTCCCAATAATTTAAATAAGTCGAAATCGACTTAACTGCAATTAACTTCATTTCCCCCTTTCCCATCAGATTAGAGGTTTAAAAGTTCAGAATATTCAAAATTTGCGCAGTAAATAAATAACACAGCTTTATTTAATTTATTTTTTTTATCAAATTACATGCAAAGTTATCAAAACTTCACTTTAAAGTGAAGACAAATTATGATTTATATGACGAGATTCCTTCTTAAGACTGAAAATAAATATATGAGTGAAGCCTTTTCAAGACAATATTTCAAATAAATAGATCAATGGATTAACTTTTCTATCCATGAATATACCGGTGCTAGATACAGCAAATTTTATTTGCTGACTGGATCCCTACTTCTCTTACTTGCGGGACCAAGGCCATGCGTTTTGATGGTCACATATGAAAGTAACTGGTGAAAATGTGTTTCTAAATAACGGGCCTTTACCGTCTAAACTGAGATGCCAAAGGGAACTAATCGCTGTTTCATACGAATTACTATACATCAGCGGATATTCGGTAGTAATTTTGAAGGTTCCGGTACAGGCTTTGTAAACTGTTGAAGATCTATGTGCTACTGGGCAGGCAGGTCTACAAACTCGGCCACAACTGTCATAAGCAGACAAGAACGACTCTGTGTGTTTGTCTGAAGGTTTGCGTACAGCTACTTGGATAACAGCAGAGGAAACAGCCTGTCGTTCGTCTAGAATAGAGAATTCTTTATATTTACCATGATAATTTAGACCATTGGATTCAACAAAGACTTTAGTAGCTCCTGACCCTGCGGGTTCGCATTTCTGCTTATAAAAAACACGGTCTTTGATTCCGATGTTTTCTCCAGCATTTTGGAAGTTGATGGGATCATGCATATCATTGGAGTCTCCTAGATCAGTTGAATTAAAGTGAACATTCCTCGGACGTTCATACACTACTCGAACATTCAAATATACCCAGTCTTTAGGAGTGTAATGACCATTTATAATAAACGTGTTAAGATATGATTTGTCCAGTGTTGAAATGGCTTCTTCATGGCTTTGAATTATCTGAACTACAGTATTATTTGTATATATACTACGCTTTCCTCTAATCAAAACAGGTGCTCGAGGTATGAGAACTCTACGTGCCACAACGCCAGGTCTTATAACTCCTGGAGCAACACCGACAGCTGTACCGCGACCTCTAGATCTAGCTACACACATTCCGCGAAGGCATACCAGGTAAGGGTTTCCTGCACATTGCGAACAAGTAGGCAAAGGAGTGTACCTGACAATTCTATCAAATCGATCTGAGAATGTTTCAAGATTTGTCATCGGACGGAAGAAAGGTCTAAAGTTCAATCGTTGGAAAAACTCGTGGCCTTGTGGAACATTAGGCCCTTGTGGATAATCTCGCTGTGGGTCGATTCCTCTTGCTCTCTGGTTAATTTTGAACAAGTACCAAATGTAGTTGAACATAGAATGTAAGAACCAGAATACAGGATCAAATGGAGCTGTGTCAAGGCCTGCAAAAAGGCCTCCAATGTTATTATGAACGGCATTATGATGTACCTCTATGGAGAAAACACTCATGGCTGGCTGTGGTTCTGTAATTTCACTAGTTCTTGTTCTACTCAGAAGAGCTCTTAGTGCTTGCTTGCCTGGTATACGAACTCCACCTTTAATAGGAAAAAGTATATAATCATTTTTTTTTTTTACCAGATACAAATCAACGATGAAAACGTGTACATGAATGACCTAATCAAGTTTGAAAGGTACCCCGAAAGATGAGTGATTAAATGCTGAAAAACATATTGTATTACCTAAATTCATATATACTAATTCCAATCGTAAAGTTATTTCATTAAAAATAATGTCAACTCAACCTGCTCCAAGATTCCTGATGATAGGAGTATTTTGGGGTGTCACCCAGTTGCCACAAAAACCTGTTCTTACTGCTCCGTTTCCATTTCCGAAGAAAGTATTTGACCAAATAGCCGAACTAGAAGGATCATTCATCTCACCGTCCATCGTAAAGTCCCAGTATGGAATGGGCGTGCGGCATGCAGTTTCCATCCTGAAAAGGATGTTAAACATCTAGCCAAAATTCATTCCAGTATTCTCAAAGTGTTCTTTTGACCAAAGATCTTTTTTACCAACGGGTGTAAAATGTAATAGTAAGTTTCAGAAATTCAGTTTTTATTGTTTTTCCAATTTTATTTCATTATTTCTGTAAATACATGAAGAAATAAGTAAATGCGGTTAAAACTTACACCAGAAGATAAACTGCGTGTCGTCCAAGAAAACTTGGTCCGTTGTGCATGAATCGGGTCGCTTGCGCAGAATGTAGGGAACCAATTAAGTCGTAGGTGTTCACAGATCGGTCAATAGTCTGAAATATTTCAATAAATTGACTGCATTCGACCAAAAACAGTGCAGTGGAATCAGTTTTATTCAACTCTTACGACACACTTGTACCCGTACATTTTTCAAATCATAGTCTTGAAAGGTTTTTTTGTTTGTTTTTGATTAAAAAATAAAAATGTCTTTTTTTCAAGTTTGACTCATCATTCAGTATTGGGTTTCTTTAATTTTTAAGGAAATAGAGGGAGGAAAACCATGATAGATACACTGAAACCTAGAAGAACTACAGTTATATTTACTATTTATGAATTTATTATTGAAAAGAATACTACTTACATAATCTCTTTTCAAACGATTTAAACAACTAAATATCCGGTTGCGCTGCGCAGACGACAATGTCCGAATTTCACTCCTTACGCGCCAGGTTGCACGTGCTTGTCTTTTACTTCTTGTCATTCTGGTTTCGGCATTAATTTGTCGGAAGAGAGATTCCAAATAGTTAATGCCTTCAGCACTAATATTCCTTTGCGTATTTTCATCATAGTGATAAAGGGCAAAATTCTGTAGACAGAAGTCCTCTATCAGTTTTCCGGGGACGTCTGCCACGCTTACGTTCAGGGATTTGTACAGGAGACATTCCTCCAGATCTGTTGGTATGGGTATTTCCTGAACAAGCCCAAGTGCGGAAGGAAGTCCCAAAGCCAAGACCAACAAAATATTTAAGCTCTGCTGTCCTTCCATTCTGCAAAATTTTGTATTCCTTCATTTCTATTTTAGAAGCTTTTTCTTTCTATTTATTATTAATAATTAACATTTTACAAAATTTTTGTTTCTGATTTCAAAAAACGAAAAGCTTATCATCGATTTCTTCAACCTGCTCCACTTCTACAAAAGTTGTTTATCAAAAGAATCTTACCTTGCTTTTGGCTTTGTAGAAATGAAAGCTCTGAATTTAATTTAGATCAGACCCCTTTTATACCTAAAACGGTACTACATACAGGATATTCCATGATTAATTAACAAAAGAAAAATTGCCCACGAAATTTGAGAACAATCGATCCATCAAAATGAGAATATATCTTTAAATAGAAACATACTTAAATAATAATTTTGCTTTTATTACCTTCCAAAATTATTGCTATTTAAACATTACTGTTATTGTTTTGAAAATTTTGATGATTCCGTTTGATTGTCAGGAAGTATATGCACAATGCTTAAATGTGCCGTGAATTTTAATTATGTTAAAAATCTGAATAGTTTTTGTGTCTCTGTTTTTTATTTATATCTAAATATTTGTAGAAAATAACCTTCAATGCCATTCTAAAATAAAATAAATATTACACTTAAATTCGTCTTTATGAAAATTTCCATAATTTATTTTCTTACAAGGCAATTCCTATGATGTAGTAACTATATTCCATTGCTCCTAAATATGTTGCTCAAATTGAATGTACCATTTTTTAAACCGTAAATAAACTTTTAAAAGAATATTGCTTTGAAATTTGCTAATATTGATTCTTAATTGTAGCAGTTGCTAAATATATTATTTTATCATAGTATATCATATGGAGAAAATAAATGAATAATTTATTTCAACGATAAAATCCAACTCACTATTTAGATTGATAAAACTAGGTAAATCATGTTACCTTTCAACGAATTACGAAAGAATCATAGAAATAGTTTTCCTTTACTTTTAGGATAAAGTCTATTTAAATATGCATTCTTTTCTGTTTATACAAACAAATAAACCATTTCAAAGTAAATATGACTTAAGGAGGGATTCTTCTCTTATTCTACTCATATTTCTTGTATTTAAAAATTAATGAAATTTTCATAGATTCAAGAAGACAATATCACTAAGTGATGGTATCAATTAGATTAAATTTGACCGTTTTATTTTAGAAACAAGGTCAGGTCAAGGTCATTATCTTTTTCCTTGACATTTAGGGTAAAAAATTACTGTTGCTAATCATGTGATGCCTACTTCTATTTTAAAAGATAAAATGTTTTTCTTTTTGCACAAAAAGATGTTACCATATCGGGTCTATCAGATGATTCTACCAAATTAATTGACATTATTTAACTTAAATAGATATTGGCTAATCCGGATTTCCTCTGTTTTTCTTAATTTTTTAGGATATATTAGTTATTTTTATATACTTCTTATATTTAAATATTTCTTGTTTTTACATATGATAAAGTAGTCATATAAATATACAAAATAATACAAAAACAAAAAGCTTTGACCGTTTAGTAAGAGAGAAAAAACACTTTTTACTGATTTTTTGCTCAAATCTGTTTTAAGGTTGGAGGCTTTCAAAAGCTAACAAGATTGTAGTTTGTTTAGAAAATCATTTTTATTTGCTATGTTTTAAAATTTTAGGGCATTATTATTAATATTAGTTACATATCAAAATTTCTTCAAGTCTTTGATTGTTTAAAAAAATTAACCACATGTTATGTTCTATAAGTGATTTTGATAGGCAGAAAAGGAGATATTTTCATACGCCGCAGTTGCGCCAAAAATATAGTCCCTTATGGATTTCAAACTCAGTTTACCATTTCTATTTAAAATTGTACAATTATGATGAGTAAAGAAAAATATGATCTTTTAAATACATTATAGCTAAGTTTATAAGACATACAAGCAAATATACGTGGAATATTTCGTCAAGTCAGAAACTAGACAAGAATCCCTCCTTAATGTATAAGCAGTCACCACACGTTTCTCTCCATAGCAAATTTTGTAGGTTTATATACCTTAAACATGTTTCAACCTTTTCAAATTTTCTAGATCATTTTAGATCCCTTTGCATAAAAACAAAGAAAGAAATATTATAAGGTACAGTGAATATTAAAAGTTATGTTTTACAGATCATGTTAAAATTACTGAAGACATTTATTCAAAAGCATGATTTATTTGACAAAGTACTTTTATTTTTATGCTTGATTCAGGCCCGTAGCAATTTAACGGTTTCGAAAGTGGGGAGGGGGGAACTTCCCCAAAAAAATCTGACAACCAAAAAACAAACAAACAAACAAACAAACAACAAAAACGGAAACAAAACAAACAACACCCCCCCCCCCCCAAAAGGTTTTTGTGAAACACTTATGCCCCCCCCCCCTTTGGACATACATTACAGGGTTTGTTCGATCGTACCCAAAACAGAACTTGATTTAGATATTTTTCTGTTATATATGTATACCAAATTTCATTTTAGTGTGTGCAACCTCTGCAAAGAAAATGAACAGAAACTGCAAATAATTGGAACGTTCCTAAGTCCAAGGGGCATCACTCTGTCAAAAATTGCTCGATCGTACCAAAAACAGAACTTGACCTAGATATGATAAATACCGTAACTGGGCGACAAGCCAAGATGCCACAATAGATATTCTATATATAATTTACCTAAAATTTACACGAATCAAATTGAGCATAAAATGCTAAGGTAAGCATGTAAACCATGGACTTCCCATGTTAGTATATGTATGTGTATTGTTTAACGTCCCTCTCGAGAATTTTTCACTCATGTGGAGACGCCACCACTTGCCGGTGGAGAGCTGCAAATTTTGACCTACGGGGCCATTGAGCAGTGAGGGATCTTTTTCTTGCCAGCACCTACTGCGACAAGGGACCTCGGTTTATAAAGTCTCATCCGAAGGACCGGTCTCCACTCCCACAGTGAGATTCGAACCCGCAACATCACGAAAGCTCTAACCACTGCGCCACGCGGGCGACTCCCATGTTAGTACACGTACATGTATTTCATAAAATGAAGTCTTCCCGATTCTAAACTAAAAGAATTCAATGAAGCAAGATTCTGTTTTGATAGGACTTTTGAAAAAAAAATTCTGCTTAAAAACGGCGTTTAAATTTTCAACCCAATTGGCCTCCTGAATGAAAATGAAAATTTCAAAACGTTATTGCACATCTACAAGCATCAAAGCATCATCAATCCTGTCCAAAATATGGTTCGGCTTAATGCTTCAATAAATTTTTGATATCAGATGGTGATGAATTTATCCTGATTCCATGCTCACCTGAGCATTTTATGTTCAGTTTTTTACATGTATATTTATGAAAATTACAGAATATTCCCTGGTTACTAAATTACCTAGGTACGAAATAGAGTACATTTAGAAGCAAACGTACGTGCAAGTATTTCTGTCTTATGAAATCCAGTTTCAGACATAAGAATACCTGTTTCTTCACTCTGATGGTGATAGTAATCTTGCAAAGAATATTGTGGAATAAGGTGTGGAAAATACCAAAAACCTTTTAGTGCATTAAAATCAAATGAATTTGTGAACCAAGTGTCAAGGGTGAAGTGCATATATGAACTGTGTATTCAATTTAGAATCAGGAGAGAGTGGTTTAAGTATACGTTGTTTACTGAAATATATACTGTTGAGATGTAAGATATAATAATTTAAAGAAATATGTTGAACCATTGAACACCTACAAGTTTGAAATACTCCTGTGCGGTACAATTTTTGTTGTTAAAAATAGTTAAGAAAAGCTAGCCTATTAATTACATGTATCAATTTTTAGAAGAAAAACATTTCTGAAATGCTGCAGTCTTGACATAATAGAACTTTTCGTAAGCAGGTTATATGACAAAACAAGAAATTGAGATAATATATTTCCAGACTGACAAGACTTATTTTCCCTGAATGCCGTACCGTTAATTCAAGCATGCACATTCCAGTAAAAAAAAAAAGACTAACGTAGTTGCTAGGTCTCGAGAAAAGTTTATTTTTATTTCTAAAGTATAGTGGGTCCTTTCTTCTTGTCTTTAACTGAAAAATCGATTCTTTATGCAAACTTTGAAGATACCTTAAAAAAAATGGAACAAAGACTAACTCAGGAAGAAAATTTGTTTTGATAAAAGGCAGCACAAAGTCTGCCTCATCTGTTTCATATTTGGATGTTTTAAGGGTCAACTAGCAACTAAACTGTATGACAAACGAGATGACTTCAGCTTTTCCATCCTCAACTTCCCTTATTTATATAGTAATATTCCGCTATCACCTGCATATGGTGCTTATGTCCCCCAATTTATTCGATACTCATAAACATTCTCTGAGTACGAGCAATTTCTAAACCGCGGTAGGCTTCTAACAGTAAGTTGATGTTACAGGGATTTCGACAACCTCGTTTAAAGTCAGCATTTTGTTAATTCTATGGTCGTTATAATGACGTTGTTAGCAAAAATAACCTATCATTGGATCGAATTTTGACTTCCTTATTTCAAAGCAATTATTAGGCCATTGTTTTTATAATATTTTTTTACGGATTATTCTGTCTACCCCATCAATACATAGGGATCATGGCGGGTGTGACCGGTGGACAGGGGATGCTTACTCCTCCTTAGCACCTGAACTGACCTCTGGAATTTCCAGGCGTCCGCGCATTATGCCCTGTTCACAGATTTGTATTGTTTGTGAGTTTTTTGTGATTGATCACTGTTCATTATCTTGACCTATATTTTAGTCTATGGTATTGGGAAATGACGCTTGCTATTTTAGATGATTTATTTCAATGCTTATGAGATTTTAGCGTATTGTAGGGGTTGTACATAAGTATGTTTAATTATTGACTGATATATTGTGATTGAAATTTGATATTCTATCCTTGGGCATTTTTAGCGTTATTCCCCAATGTTTCTTTAATAGCCAGGTTTTTCAGATATATACCGTATCTGTATTTATATAGACATATCTTTTATACATAAAGG